CCTGCCACAATAGGCGCATATGGGGGAGAGCCGGCCTTTCTGTTCCAGGTCAGTCCTGGACACGAGCCAGTCCGGTGTGGGGAGACATCGGTGCAGGATCTTCCATTGCAGCGAGGAGGTTTGTGGGCATTATTTTGGAGTAGTGGGACCAGGAGAGGTTCTGCAAGAGGTCTCGTTCTACCGGTGAGTCTCGGGCCCATCTCGCTGCAATGGTTGAGCATCACGATTCCAGCCAACCGCCCACACATGACAGTGGGGTGCAACACGACCAACAACAGCCTGCGTTAGCAGAACACACGGCTCACCACCAACAGCCACATTTGCCAGATGGACAGATACAACAAGCCCCCCACATGCAAATCTGCGACACGGACCAGCACAACGTGCCCCAAACGCAGCATCAACAACACATGCCCACTGTGCAGGACTGCGCCCACACTGTCGATACCCGCTCCGAATTAGCTCTGCGGCAGGGACTACACCAACAGCTGCAATTGGAAAGCTGCCAAAAGCACATCCACCTCCACGAGCAACAAATGCACACACACCAGCTGCAGCATCTCCAAGAGCAACAAATGCACACACAACAGCTGCAACAATCCCTCCATAACGTTGTGTTATGCTGGCAATACCAGCACCAACAACTACAACATGAACAACACATGCACGCACAACAACTGCAGCATATGCAATGGCAGGCACAGCAACAACAACTGCTTCACCAAAGCTATGTGGAGGAACAACTACGCATCGTACTCCATTCCCAACTTGCCCAGCACCAGCGGCAACACCAGCAGGACGCCCTCATACAATAGCAACAAACTCTCAACCATCTCCACCTCCAGTGACAACAGCAGCTTTGCCACCGGCAACAGCAGGTGCTCCACCAGCAACAACAATATCTCCAAGACCATAATGATTGTCAACAGCAGCAGCAAAAACAAGGACTGTGGCAACAGAAACAACAACAAACACAAGGGGCGTTACCACCACCCCAGCAAAATCACTATCCGCTGCTGCCCCCGCCGGAGGAAGACCGCTTAGATGACCGGGACACCCATGACATGGACACCTCTGCTCCAGATCAGGAACGATCACTGGATCAGCAACCGGATGTGGAAATGGAAAACGCCCTCACGCTTGTCAACAATGACGAAGTCAAACACAAACTGTGTTTTCTCACTGATTGGACATTGCTCAAAATCTTCTCGCTGACGGACGACAGGCCGACGGACAAACTCGCAACTCGGTACTGGGAAGAGGCAAAAACAGTCCTCATGCACAACCCACAAATTTTGGCAGCAGTAAAGAAGCACAACAATGTGTCCACCATAAACTGGAAAGATGTGGGGGCAGCCATTGTCTTTGTAGTCAATGAGTTTCTGGACAAAATTGACCAATTCACCCGTGCTTTCCTGGCACGGTCCGTAGGCGACAACCCGGAAGCTTTCCTCCACGAGGGACTGGCCTGGCCCAAACCCCTTGTGCTCGAGCTGTGCAACACGCTGTACGGGAACCGGCCGCCTCAAGACCAGCTGGGGGCTGGGTCGGAGCAACAACAACACTAACAACACATAGTGGGAGAAACGAGCTGCCGCCTCGCCTTGGCCGACCAAAGTCAGTTGCATCCACAACCCGTTGGGCACACGATTCAACTGCCCCAACTCCCGGCGCCGCAGGCGCAAACAAACGGGCCCGAC